ATTTACCTAAAATTCTTTGGAGATGCAAAAATCATTAATAACTTTTATTAATGTGGACATGAAAATTCATAAATAAGTTTTCAAATTTCATGGAAAAGAAAATCAAAGTCATGTTCCAAAAGAATACAAATTATTTAGTAACTAGTACTTACTGAAAAAGAAAGTATCTATTAGTCACTCCTATATTAAGTCATTCTAACTCTTTTACCAGTTAAAAGAAGAGAAAAATTTTTGGATTTCTCTAATAATTCCTGTGAAGCATTTATTTATTGTTGGTGGACCCATTTATGGTATTTTCTCCTTTGGCCCCAAAATATTATCCTATTCTTTCTAATAGTTTACTACAGAAATCAGTCTTTTAAAAAAAAGATAATTAAGAAATAATCTGAGAGAAAACAGAGGAAATCTATTTGTGTAAAATAAGGGTTGAATTGTTTCCTTATCTATGAAGATATTCAAGAGGCATATATTGTTTCGGTACTTAAAACTTGGATTATAAAATGACACTATGGAAGAAATACAGACATTTGGGGTACTCTATATAATAATGATAACCTATTCCAATTATGCAAAACTTAGTAACAACAAAATTCTCAGTATTGCTTTCCTTTCCATTAAAACAGACATATACCACAGAGCCACAATTGGCTGGATCTGGAAAGAGAAACAGCCTTATAAAACCCAAGAATTCTAGAACCAAAATAGTGTGCACAGGTAACTTTTCAAGGGCATTAACTGTTTATGAAGAGTATGACCCCTAGTGGTTATAAACTATGCTACATACCCCCAAAAGATTTTGTGTGTGTGTTATTAAATAGCCAATTTTGAGCAATTATGGAAGAAAAAAGAAGAAATCAGTGTTTTTCTTGGATCTCAATTTCTATCATTGTAAGAGAAATGTCTGACATTAAAATACTAAAGCCACCTCAGATTATACTTTAACATGTATTATTCCCATTTCTTCTTCTTCATAAACGATACAGAAAATCACTTCATCTAAACTCCTTGTTTCACAGGTAAAGAATATGAGATCCTAGCTGGACGTGGTGATGCACACCTGAAATCCCAGTGACTGGGCAGGAGGATCATGACTTCAAAGCCAGCTTCAGCAATGGTGAGGCACTAAGCAACTCAGTGAGACCCTGTCTCTAATGAAAACACAAAATAGGGCTGGGGATATGGCTCAGTGGTCAAGTGCCCCTGAGTTCAATCCCTGGTGTCCCCTGGTTCCCCCTACTCCCCCAGGTTAGCTTAAAGATTTGGACAGCACCAACAGACAGTACACATATAAAATGAGGTAGCTGATAACTTCTTTAACTATGAGGTTAAAAAAAAAATCAACCAAAATATCAGAGTGTGTAACATAATTCCAAGATCAATTCTTTTATTTGAGAAACAGTCATATTTTTTGAATGCCTGGCCTATGAATATGAGCACATCTCTACAACTATTTCATTCATGGGTTGGGTCCTGAAAAATGGAGTACCTGGAAAATGGGGGAGAAGGGAATTCCAGGATGGAGTTTGGAGCACTGCACTTAGTAGTCCATTACACAGCAGCCGAGGATGAACGCTTCCACCATGCTGACTCTCCAGATCAGCTGTTCTACCTATCCCCCCTCCCCCCGCCACACACACTACTGCTAGTTAAAATTCTCTCCACGCTTCCCAGAGCAGACTCATGGTGGGCATCTTCCGCCCTTGGCCCTCTTCTCACTCCATGTGCTTTCCAGGCTTCACTTACTTTAGGAAGATGATACTTCCCAGTCTAGAAATCCAGGCCATGTGCTCCTTACTTGTATATCCAAAAGCCTACCAAATACTTAGACTTTAATGTCCCACTAGTATTTTACACTCCCTGTATAAAAGGTTGAAACCACCTTGATCTCCAAACCTGCTCTTCTTATACTCTCCCTTCCTGAAAGGCCCATCATCTAAAAACTTGGAGGGCATCATTTATCTACTATTTACAAGCCCAAGCTGAATTAATAATCATTACCTGCTCACTTTCTACTGACTACATTTAGTTCAAGTCAACATCATTACTAACTAGCTGCCTAGCCCATCTCCCAGCCTTGGTTTTTCCAAGTACTAGAACCCTGCTCCCCAAATCCCAAATCTATTTCAGAATAATCCTTCTAAAACTCAAATCAGATCAACTCAGTTACTCTCCTCCTTAAGACTCTTCTATGGCTCACCACCTCTTTATGGAGACAATTCAAACTTCTTAACAAGGTTTCCTAGTCAATAAGATTCTTCAGGACAGAACTGCACTTACATGTTCACTCTCAACTCCCAACACCCCACATTTCTCTTTGCCCCAATATATACACCAACTTCCTTTTCCATCCATTCTGACCTATTTGTAAGTCCCTAAATTTGCCATGTTACATTCTGTGACTAGATATGAACTAATATGCCCACTGTCTGGGACCTACTTACTCTCTTATCCTTATTCCTTTATTTAGATAATTACAATAATAGAGAGACGTCATTGTACCTCAGCTGAGACAAAACTTCAATAGACTGCATAGCTGGGTACAATGGCACATGCCCTGTAATCAGGAGGCTGAGGCAGGAGGATGGCTTGGGCCCAGGAGTTCAAGGCCAACCTGGGCAGTACTGTGAGATTTCATTTTAAAAAACAGCAAAAAAAAAATGGACTTAATTCCTTAGGAAGACCTCCAAAACTTGGCTAGGTGCTCCTCTGCTCCCTTTCCTCACCTATGTGATGGCCATTAAATCACAGGATGGTGGTGCCCATTCATTCGTTTCTCTTCCCAGACTCACCTAACCAGCCCTCACAATTAAGGAAGCTGATTACTTGTAAAACACAAGAAAATCCTAAACCAGAACCTGAATATCAAAGGGTAAAATGTGAGTCAAGAAGATCAAAAAGGAAAACTAATTGTAATTGTGCCACATAATTTGCATTTATTATTTCATTTCATCCTCATGCCAACCCCATAAAAGTAGCTATTCCCATTTCTTCTTTCATTCAATAAATATCTGAATGCCTATCACATGCTAATCACTGCCTATCACTGCTTCAGATGTGAGGAATCTAAGCTAAAAGCATAGAGGTGACCGAGGCCCTGCTCTCGGGCAGCTTGCAGTGCAAGTGAGGACACTGAACCTGAGCGGCTGTAGGCTCCCGTCTCAGGTCACACAGCTGTTAAGTGAAGCATCAGAATTTCAACCTGAGCTGCATGGTTTTAAAGCAAAGCTCTTGCTCTCCTCGTTTAATTCCAATGCTAAAAGACAGGTCTTCCCTAGAGGGGTTTATCAAGCTGGGTACCCAGAATACATGCTCTACAAGGCATATAAACTGGCTTATGTTCAGGTCCCAGAGTGACCAAAAGAGACAGAAAGTTCCCCAAGAAAAGAGAGACTTGCATAATCCCAAAGACGGGGAGTCATGAGACAGATTCTGTAGAGCAGGCAGCAGGATCTGAGGTGGTCTTGGAGTAGCAGAGAAGATGAAGTATTGGGTTAAGACACACAGCCAATGACAAGGGGGATGAAGGAATGGATGGCTGGGGACGTATCTGAGGAAAGTCAATAGTTCTATTTGACTAAAGAAGAAATATGGTTCCAGGAGTTGTGAAACATCACCACTAGTCCTTTTTCTCACCACCACCACAATCCCATTCCCAGCCCCAGATTCACATCAAAAATCTACACAATGTTAGTTAATATAGAAACTATATATGAAATGGACTGAAAGAAGAGAGCATGGTATGAGAGTGACCTATAAAAAATGTTCTGAAGGTATCCCAGGAAGTGACCAAAATAAAAGGGGGAAAAAATAAAAATGTGCTGGGGCTGTAGCTCAGTGGTAGAGTGCTTTCCTGGCACATGCGAGGACCTGGGTTTGATCCTCAGCACCACATAAAGATAAATAAGTAAAATAACGGCATTGTGTCCATCTACAAATAAAAAAATATTTTTTTTTTAAAAAAAAAGGTAATAGAAGCATTGACAGAAGCAGTACAGCACTAAAACAAATCACAAAAAGTGCTTTGGTAGGTATTCAATATTTCTGTTTTGAAGAAGCAAATGCATAATGGTGGGATATTGTTATATTGTATGCATGTGTGAATATGTAACAATAAATCCCATCATTATGCATAACTATAATGCAACAATAAAATGTGGATAAAGAAAAAAAGAAGCTATATAAGCTTCATTCAAAACAGAAATTGCAGAACATAAAAGATAAAAAATTTTAAAATTTGGTTGGCTCTCCAATTCATAAAAGCAGCCTTCAGCTAAAAGGTCTTAAAAATGGAGGTCGAATATCCTTATTCTAAATGGTTGGGACCAAGAGTGCTTCAGATTTCAGAATACCTGCAAATACATAATGAAATATCCTGGGGATGAAGCCAAATTTATACATGAAATTTATTTATTTTTCATACATATCTTATACACATAGCCTGAGTGTTATTTTATATAATTTTATAATGTGTCTGTCATGTGAGGTAAGATGTGGAATTTTCCACTTGGGGCATAATGTCAATGGTCAAAAGTTTCAAATTTTGGATTCTGGATTAGGGATGTTCAATCTGTATTCCTTTTTTTTTTTTTCCTGGAAGTTGCAAACATGATTTTTCTAAAATATGTTCTGTGCATAACTATTTTTTTTTTTATTTTTGGTACCAGGAATTGAATTCAGGGACACTCGGCCACTAAGCCACATCCCCAGCCCTATTTTGTATTTTATTTAGAGACAGGGACTCACTGAGTTGCTTAGCATCTCACTGTTGCTGAGGCTGGCTTTGAACTCAAGATCCTCCTGCCTCAGCCTCCTAAGCCGCTGGGATTACAGGCATGTGCCTCCGCGTCCAGCTCTGTGCCTAATTATTCATTGTAAAAAATAATACTCGAAGAGCAAACTTGCACAAGAACAACAAAACAACTTGAGGTTACACAAAATGGGAGAACAAGATCTTCGCATCAGGCTCACGAGAAAAATCACAGACATGAAGCTGCACTTACTTTTTTAAACATGACTAGTGAGATGACTGCTGATGCTGTGAAAAGAGCCGCTATGATTATCATCATGATTCCAACAGGAATGTTTTGGTTCAGACCAGTAAGGGATGAAATCCAACCACTACAAAATAATCAAAAGCAAAGTGTAGTTAAGCAGATAAGTTAATGCAGACTTCTTAAAAATAATACCTAACTGACATTCAGCACTTATGAGGCAGGCAGTGTTCAACTTCTTTATATGTATTAGCTCATTTAATTCTAACGCGATCATAATCTCATAAGAGAGGTGCTATTTTTACTATTTTACAGATGAGAAACTGGGTCACAGAGGTACTCAGTGCCCAAGTTCTCACAGCTAATAAAGCATAATCTTAATTCAAAAGCAGATGAAACCACTGAGCCCCAAGTGTTTACCACCACATTATTGCACTGTTTAAGCTTGTGAGTTCATGGCCATATTTTTAAATGCTCATTTTAAATTCTGCGGAATTATGGAAGGAAATATTTGCAAACCTCACATTTAACACAGGATTAGTTTCTAGAATATAAAAATAACTTTTATGGTTCAACAATACAAAAAAATCATCTAGAAAATAGGCAAAACACATGGTGAGACAATTCACTAGGAGGACAGAAAGATGGCAAAGAAACACATGAAAAGTTGTTCAATTTCTTTAGTTATTAGGGTAATGCAAATTCAAACCACAATGAGATATCACTACACATCCATCAGAATGGCTGATGTAACAGATAGTGGCAACACTAAATGAGGTGGAGGCTGAATCACACATAATTGTTGGTGAGATTATAAAATGGTACAGCCATTCTGGAAGACAGTTTATCATTTTCTTTAAAAACAAAAACAAATGAAAAAAAACACATGCAACTTCTCTATGGCCCAACTGATTATTGTGTCATCCCAGAGAAATGAAAACTTATATTCACACAAAAACCTGCTCATGAATGCTCACAGTGGCTTTATTCATAATAGCTTCAAACTGGAAACAATCCAGATGTTCTTCAATTGGGGAATAGTTAAACAAATTGTGGTACATCTATACCATGGAATACTACTCAAGAATAAAAAAAAAGAACCTACTGATACACAGAACAACTTGGATGACTCTCCACAGGATTATGCAGAGTAAAAAAGCCAGCAGTTGCATGCTATATAATTCCAATTAAGTAATCCTCATAAAATGATAGAATGATCAGAATGACAAACAGATTAGTGGTTGTTTGGGGTTAAGGAAGCAGTGGGAGCAGGAGAGCTATGCGTGTGGCTATCAAAAAGTATTCATACACAATTTATTTAAAGAAGATAGAATGTGCTGTTTTATAAAATGGGAACATAATCTTCAAAGGGAATGGTTTGTACAAATGCTACATCTCTTGGGACATGTTAAAACTGTGTTCCTTGTTTTTTTCTTTATCTTATTTGTTTGCTTTGGCTGATCTGACTTTTCTGTGTAAACTATATTAGGATACAAAAATTATATACAAATATTAGATTAACAACTTAAAACTAATAAAGTAAATAAACTTACCAATTGCCCCAATTATGAAATCCTGCAGCCTGGAGCACATGTACAGCAAACTGACAAATATAGACAAAGAAGAATACAAAGAATCTGAAAGAACTGTCACTCCTTTGAAAAACAAAAGAGGGGGAAGGAGAGAAGAAAGAAGAAATGTCATTTTTCTCATTAATTTTATATTCACATGCAGATTGTCATTCAAACCTTTAAAAAAGTGGCAATAATCTTAGGCTTAAAATTAAAATAGTAATATTATAATAATTTATTTGAACCTTTCATGTAAATATTCAATATCATTCCAATCTTACTTTGTTCTTTCAGTTTCTAACTGCACCAAAATCCATCTTAACAACTCAGCTTTCGTTTTTAAAACAAACTTCACAAGAATTATAATACACAATGAAGTATAAATATTTAAAATATTCAATTTAATAATATTGAAACTTATTTAATATATGCATATTAAAACATGTACATGCCTGGACTTTCCCCTATCAATACTGTGAGCATATCCCAAGTTTTCTGGATAATCCCTCCCTTTTTCTCCCCCTTACTTTACCAGCAGCTTTCTGTCATCATATTTTGCCTATTTCAGAACTCTCTACACATGAGATCATATAGTATAACACTCCAGATTCATCCATGCTGTGGCATGTATCAGAAAGTCATTCCTTTTCATTGCTTAATAATGTATAAATATGCCACAGTTTATTCATTCACTATCGATGGACATTTAGGTTGTTTGCAGATTTTTACTATTGCAAATAAAGTTATTATGAATATTACTATATAAGAATTCATATGAACATACATTTCTTTTTCTCCTGGGTAATTACTTACAGGTGGAAAGGTAGAGACACAGAAGTGTTCGTTAAATTTCTAAGAAGAAATTGCAATCTGTTTTATCAAGGGGTTGTTCGATTTTACATTTCCGCTGGCAGGGTATGAGTATTCCAGCTCCACATCTTACTAATACTGGGTAATGTCAGTCTTTTTAATGCTAGCCATACCAATGTATGTATAGTAGTATCTTATTTGGTTTTGATTTTTCTAGTGAGTAATTCTGTTAAGCATCTTTGCCTGTCATCTGTGGATCTTCTTTGGTGAACTATTTATTAAAATCTTTTTCTGATGTTTTAAGTAAATTATTTTCCCCCTTATTCTTGCATTTTGAGAGTTTTTATAATACAGATTCTATATACACAAGTTCTTTATTATATATATGCTTGGCAAATATTTTCTCCCAGCCATGGCTTTTCAATTTGATGTATGTATGTATGACAATTATCTGTGTTTTTAAAGGGAAGAGCATCTTTTTTTTTTTTTAAAGAGAGAGGGAGAGAGAGAGAGAGAGAGAATTTTTTTTTAATATTTATTTTTTAGTTATCGGCGGACACAACATCTTTGTTTGTATGTGGTGCTGAGGATCGAACCCGGGCCGCACGCATGCCAGGCGAGCGCGCTACCGCTTGAGCCACATCCCCAGCCCGGGAAGAGCATCTTAAAGAGCAGCTTTTGATAAGTTTTGCCTTTTCTGAATTCCACTTTACTTATTCATTATTTTATGGATCTTGATTTTCTTACTGTATCTAAAAAAAATCTGTGCAAAAGCCAAGGAAATAATTCTGTTCTCTTCTAGAAATTTAACTTTTTCAGCTTTAGATTGTAGTCTATACTTTTTTGAATTACTTTTTTTTGCACAAGGTATTAATTGAAACTCTTTGTTTAATTTAACTTAGTACCAGAAATTGAACCCAGGGTTGCTTAACCACTAAGCCACATCCTCAGCCCTTTTTATAAAATTTATTATGAGACAGGGTCTCACTAAGTTGGTTAGGGCCTTGCTAAGTAGCTGCGGCTGGTTTTGAACTTCGCTCCTCCTGCCTCAGCCTCCAGAGCCTCTGAGATACAGGCAGGTACCACTGCGCCCAGCCAGCATCATTTCTTAATGATGATTTTTCTGTACTGCATTGTTTTTTTATCTTTCTCAAAAATCATTGGTCTATGGTAGATTTATATTCATTTCTGGATGCTCTATTCTGTGCCATTTTTCTCTATCTTTATGTCAATATTACACTATTTTGATTACTGAAACAATCTAAGCTTCAAAGTCTTCAAATTAGGTAGTGTTAGTTTATTGGCTTCATGATTCCTTTTCAGAGTTGTTCTATCTATTTTAAGGCTTTTACATGTTTTACATTTACCTTCTAGAATCACCATGTCTTATTTCCTGAAAAGAGCCGGCTGGAATCTGTTTATATTTTCTACATAGATAATCATGGGTCTATGAAAAATATAGTTCTTTCTTTCTAATTTGCATACCTTTTATTTTGTTTTCTTGCCCGATTATACTGGCCAGAGCTTGCAACACAATATTGAATAGAAGTGGTAATAATAAATGTCTGTTATGGTTTGGATATGTGATGTCCCCCAAAAGCTCATGGGTGAGACAATGCAAGAACAGTCACATAAAAACATGAGTGGATTATGAGAGTCTTAACCTGATCAAAGCACTAATCTCCTGATGGATTCACTGGGTGGTAACAGTAGGCAGGTAAGGTGTGGCTGGAGGAGGGAGATCACTGGGGGTGTTCCATTGGGGTTCATGTTTGATCCCTGGTGAGCAGAATTCTCTCTGCTTCCTATTGCCATACCTTACCACCATGATTTTCTGCCTCACCTCAGGCCCAGAGCTATGGACTGAGGCCCCTTAAACTGTGAGCCAAATCAACTTTTACTCCTCTATGTTGTCCTTGTCAGGTCTTTTGGTCACAATGCTGACTAAAATTGTCATTTCTGATCCAAGGCAGTTTTTAATAGATTCCTTTTATCAGGTTGAGAAAATCCCCTTCTATTCCAAGTTGGCTCAAGAAAGGATGTTGGATTTTGCCATATGCTTTTTGGGCATCAATTAAGATAAACATATGGTTTTAAAACCATGCAATATGGTGAATTGTGGCTAATTAATTTTCTAATATTAAACCAACCTAAAATTCTTGAAAGAAGCTCCATCCACTTGATCATGACATAGTATGTTTTTAATATACTGTGGAGTTAGGTATTAAAATTCACTTCAGCAACACTTTAAATTCTCCTAAATTTACCCCATTTTCTGTTCATCACAGTGATTATTCGCGGCCCTCAACGCTTCACTTAATTTCAGCATTAACTGTTAATCAAAGAGGAAAACAGAAGTCACTGGAATAAATCCCTGCCCTTTCTTACTTCATAGATAAGGTCCTGCCTGCTTCTCTGTGGAGGGGCAGCGTCCGTCCTCTCAAAGCTAACACTAGCAGAAGAAACCTTTAGCCTGTCCTTCAGGTCATCTGGAGTGCTTCAGGTCATCTGGAGTGCTCCACTTCACCAGTTTCTTATTGTCTGCCCCGATGAGTCTTCACCTCTTCGGTTAGATTCTTCCCTTCAGTGCATACAAAGTTTTTTCATCTTCAAATAGCCCTCCTTTAACCCTGTCTTCCCCCAAAACTGCCACCTCTATCTTCCTCCTTCCCTTCAGTGACAAAAATCTTGAAGGAGCAGTCTACCAATGATTTCCTCAACCTCCCTCTTCTTACTGGTTTTCTTAATTCCCTGTAGCCTGGCTACTCCACACAGATACCACCAGAAGCACTTCAGAGTCATGAGAAACCCATGAATTTCCAAATCAAATTTCTCAGTCTCTACTTGGTTATGGCTTTCAACACTGAAAATCCTCACTCTTAGCCTCTGGCTTCAGTAATGTTACTCACTTCTATTTCTGTCATTTCTCTGATCTAGACTGTCTCAGTTTTCTTATTTCTGTACCCATTTCCTCTATGTCCAACTGTTTTTACAGAAAAGCACCTGAAGTAATTCTTGCATCTTCTAATGTTTGGGAATCATCTACCACAGGATAAAGTCCAAGTAATAAGACACTATATACTATACACCTCTTCATAAAACATACCTACAATCCCTGTTCTAGCTCCTCTTACCAGAAGAACACATGTCTTGCTAACTCAGTATCTTTATTCTCTTTTCCACCTGGCAAACATGATTCACTTAGGTCCCGCCCATACCCAAAGACAGGACAGTCAAGTTTCGCTCCCTAAAGGGAATAAAGCCCAAATTTAGCATTTTGAAATTCTCTGTTCCTTCTCCCCAACCTATTTATTAATCATTTATTTCCATAACATGAATTCATAGATATATATTTTATTCTTTAGATTAAAATCAAAAACTATCATTTATTTTGTTGTTCAAATTGTTCCAGCTTAAGCCTTTTAAAATCTGTTTAGTATTTGATGATCGGTACTCATCTTGCATTTTCCCTGTTCCTGCTCCACAATGAGCCATTATTTGAAAGAACAAAAGAGCAATTTTAATGGTTTGATAATAATGTTTCCTACATTAGTCATTTAAATCAAATGGTAATTGATAATTCTATCAGTAATATGTTAAGCAAAGTTAGTATTAATTAATGACATGTTCTTCAAGAAAATTGCCAATGAAAACAATAAATAGCAAAACCCACAATATAAAATGCTATTTTTATTAGTACCAAATAGAAACTCCATATGTGCCTCATCTCTCTGGGAAACAAAATATTACTAACTTAATAATTAATTAATTTATTTATTTAGTTTACTGTTTTGAGGAAGTCACTTCTGAAACATTCCTATTTCCCTAATCTTTATCAGTGTATAAAAATATAACTTAATATTTTCTTATTTCTTGTTAAATATTTTACTTTTATTATTTGTGTATCAAGAAACCAGAATAGCAAAATTACATAATACATATACTGAAAAGGCTCTTGATTAATTTCTAAAGGCTTCACAATTATTTCAGTTACCCAAGAGCCATCTTTTACTTCCACATCTACAGATATATTCCAGAAGTTGAAACTGCTTCACTATAACTTTTAGTTAAGAAATCTTTTTTTAAAAAACTTTTTTAGTTCCCAATGGATCTTTATTTTGTTTATTTATATGAGGTGCTGAGAATTGAACCCAGTGCTTCATACATGGTAGACAAGTGCTATACCACTGAGCTACAACAGCAGCCCAAAAAATCTTTTGAAGGATATCAAGTATGTTTTAAAAAATTAAGAAGTCCTACTAAAAGAATATTTC